CGCGCGAATGAGCGGCAGGGTGGATGCTACTACTACACTTCATCTATAAATAAGCGAGTTTGTTTCTGCTGCTAACACAGAGCTTGTTCTGCTTTCATCAATGGCGATGCTAATGTTCTCCAAGTGTCTTAGAAAGACAGATATTGAGAAGAGGCTGTCATTTCCAACCATGGCTCTGAGATATCTTCCATGTTTCAAGGAGGGCCAGCACAAGGTGGAATTTAAGGTAAGGGATGAGGAAGGTCGTGTCTGGACCTTCCATTGCTCTACTCGGAGGGTGGGGAAGTACATGAAACCAGTTCTTAGCGAGGGATGGTGTAGGTTTGTTTGCTTGAGAAATCTCAAAATTGGCGATAAAGTTGAGTTTTACAAGGAAGAAGAGAAGTACCACGTGAGGGTGAAAAGGCCAGTCGTAGTATTTGGGGCTGTGATGGGTGATGCCCCCATTTCTTAAACTGTTTAGGCCAATACGTATAGTTTTGATGTAGAATTTCTTGTAATGTTAAGTTCTATGTAATTTCAAGCTTTTGTGTTTAGAGCATCTCTAACCTCAATTACTGGAGAATTACCCGCTATTCTTTATAGTAGGCCAGAATGGAATGAGTAAACAGACGACAAAAACAGGGAGTACGTTTAAAATAATTCAACGGCAGTAAGAAAACAAGCAACTTGGATTAATTTTGAATGTCGTGAGTAACATTTGACAAGCAACAAGTGTATATTCATAAAGCTCATCAGCAATTTAACAAAATGCATCGCAAATTGATAGTGTTACAAAAACTGTCCGGTGGTGGGAAAAAAAAAGCATTGTTGATCTGAAATCATCGCAACAGCTACAATGCAGGAAAAAGCTTTACCAAAAGACAGCTTTCTAGGACTAATCCTCGAAGAGAAATTGGCATTCAACTTGAAGGCTAAGACTTCAATTAAGCCGCTGGCATTGACACTGTAAATTAACCTCTCATCGACCAACTGGAAACGACTAAAGGCCAAGTTTTGAAAGAAGTTGAAAGAAGTTCACGCCATCTTGGAGTCTCTTCATAAAAAATGTAGGTCAAAGGTGAAATTAGGACCCCACTTCCTCCAATCTGCATCAAACAACAATTCAAGTTCAATGACCTGGATGGGAAGCAAATCCCATTTCTTTTCTTTCTCTTCTGCTTTTGGCAGGGTAAGGGATCAGCAAAGGTTCTTAGGATATATTTGGCAGGAAGGATGGTTACTCTTTCTATCCAATGTCAATCAAACTTCTTCATTAACTCTGCTTAAGGCATGGAACACCAGTTTCAACATGTAAGGTTATAGTTTGTCATGACTTACAGCTCTCAACTGCTGTACAGACTTGTAGAGAGCCTTGTTGGGCACACAAATTACTATGGCATGGTAATCAGCTGAGACCTTCCCATCACGCTTACAAAAAACTGGACTTACGGTGGGTCCTTGCACATACAATCAGCAAACAAACTCAAAATTATATTGTATAAGCAAACATTAAAAGAACATTAATTAAGAAAAACTTCAATTTGATTAGTAATTTCTTGGTCCAGAAAGCAATTAGTTAGGGTAGCACTGTTGCATCTTTTAAAACCTAACCTGCAAACCAGCTAATGAAGGCTGGTTCAGTACTCACTCAGCTACTTCCTCTGCACTACTACCCCTCATATTTGCAACAACCTAGCATGAAAAACAAATGAGAATTAAGAGAGAGAGATAAAAGGAAACGGAAAATTTTTTCTTTCTAGAAAAAAAGAGTTGAAAAATAAGCTCTCTACCATGAACTGACCAACTGCCCTCAAATAAGCCTCCAATCTTTCAAGAACCTCGTGGGTGGTGTCTAATGCACCCTTCTGCTGGATCAAGGATTTCCTGCTAGCCACAAGAACAGCCTGAAGGACAATCAATCCTTAAGCAAAGACAGTAGAGCTGGCTGCCAAAAAGTATTTTTCCAACAGAAACTTTGAGCTAGAAATTAACTTCCTTGGCTTACCTGGCTTTCCAACACAAATCCACCTTCAATTTCTTTCAGGTTGTTTTCACGTAGTGTTGTCCCATTATTCACAAGATTGAAAATGGCATCAGCTATCCCCATCTAAATTGGCAATACAGACAAGGAGGCAATGATATTCATCATAAGAGTTTTTCAAAATCATATGACAAGACAAGAACAAAGGAGAGAACAATTCTCTTTTTATAAATAGCAGAAGAGAATAAAATAAGAACTTATTACATAGAGACATAATTCTCACCACAGGAGCACCCTCTAAGGCTCCATCAGCAGTTGAAAAGGTCACATGTTTCAATCCATTCTCTCTCACAAATTTAGGGCCAAGCTGTAAAAAATAAAAAATAAAAACATAATACATATTTAATTCAAATGCAAACATTCATCCATAAGCATGAACAAATTGACATCACTTGAATATGCAAAACACATCATACATAAGTAAAGCCAGTAGCAACTCTCAGAGGTTTCTCAACAGTCCATTGAGGCATTTCTGCTAGCTCCTTGAGCGAATTGATATTCTCAAAGATCCCATATTTGGGAATCTGAAACAAAGAAAGGACATATCATGACCACAAGAACATCAGCTTTCAGCAATGAGATGGGCAGCTGGCTGTAGGCATAGAACAACGACTACTTACTGCATGGGACAAATGACAATCACCATACTACAGAGCATCATGAACAATGATAAGATCAGATCTTCATTCCCCTGATAAAAGTAATTGAAAATATTTAGAGATATAAACAACAAGCTACAGAATGACTTGGAAAATGTTCCTGAATAACAGGTTCAATTATTCTGGATTTCAATTGCAAGTTTCTTAAATACTTTCAACAGTACTTATACTTGCATGGGCTTGCTTAAAAACTGAAAACAAGTTTAAAACTACCTGATACTATAATGAATCAATTAAACATTAAACCAAACAAGCACCTTTGTGGACTAAAAATAAGACCAGTTCAATTGAATGTCATTTGGGAGAGTGACTGCATGGGGTATATAATATAAACAGTCCTACACATTAAAGATAGCCCACAAGAAGTATAGGCGACTAATTTTGGCTCAATATTCAACCTATCTTCAATCAAACCAATTGATTAGCAAAAAGTCTCAAAGCAAACTCCAAAATCATGGCTCAATTGCATTGTGTACCTCAAGAAAGAGAAAAAAAATTTACCTGTCCATATTCACTAACTGCATCAAGACCCATGATACGATACCAAGATCTAAGTCTCCAGACAACAATTTCCGCACAATATCTTTGGGCCGTTGAAACCAGACTTCAATATTAGTAAGCTGGAAAAAGAAACCAAATTTAAACGCTGAGCAAGCACAGACAGACACGGGAATGCAAAGTACAATGCATGACATGGGGGAGAAAGAAAGCACAAACCTGAGGTATTTGTGCAACATATTGGCGAGGATTAAGCTGTTTAACAGATAATTGACAATCCTTTGCAAAAAATAAACAACCAGACAGTCAAGGTCATCAGAAATTGATAACCAAGAGAATAATACCTAATATTGGCAAGTGCACAAATTTGTACCTTATTCAAGCTAAGTACTTTTTGCACGCAAAATCAACTTAATTCATACTCTATATGCCTTAGTACTTCAAATAATCATAAAAGCAAAATTCAATAGCCAATTCCCACCATTTTCCCGAGAACCAAAAGGGGCTTGAGCCAATACCTTAAGTAAATCGAGAGTGTCTTCAGCCATGTGACCTTTGCTGGCAGACCGAGACGAATCTCATTCCTCTCGACAACCCTGCCATCGACATTACCATTGACGACTGCCGTTTCTGACTGCGACGAGCGGCAACAAATCACGGCGGGTTCCGAAACCAAGACGCGAAATTGAGCATGGGAAATTGCGAGGGATGGAGTAAACGGCGACAAGGACCACTGGAAAATCGGTTGCAGGAGCATGCTGTAGTTCTAAAATCCTAATTATTGTACTTCCGGTATAAAATGTGTTGAATAGTGTGTAAATGTTATCGTGGAACGTCAAGATCGAACGAGAATTTAAAGGAATTTATAATGGCATATATAGTATATAGTAAATAATTGAGAAATGTAAATCCCAAAGCCAATGGGTTTTAAGTTTAAGGCTTACCCCCTTCTATATATAATCATTTAGATGGACACTTGAATATTGGGGCAT